AAAATGAAAGTTCCATAAAATTAAAAATGGATGTTCAATCCAGAAACCACTATACCTTAGCGATCTATTTGGAAATTAAATAAAAAGGAAGTTTAATACCAAAGTAAATTGAATTAAATTGGAAGTTGAAGAAAAGTAAAATTGAAAGTTGCATAAAATTAAAAATGGAAGTTCAATCCAAAAAGCACAATACCATAACGATCTATTTGGAAATTAATAAAAAAGGAAATTAAATAAAAATAAAAATGTGAGTTGCAGAAAATTAAAAAAGGAAGTTCATTCTAGAAACCACTATACCTTAACGATCTATTTGAAAATTAAATAAAAAAGGAAGTTTAATAGGAAAGTAAATCGAATAAAAATGGAAGTAGAATAAAAATAAAAATGAAAGTTGCATAAAATTAAAAATGGAAGTTCAATCCAGAAACCACTATACCTTAGCGATATATTTGGTGATTAAATAAAAAAGGAAATTTAATAGGAAAGTAAATTGAATTAAAATGGAAGTAGCAGAAATATAAAAATGAAAGTAGCAAAAACTTAAAACTGGAAGTTCAATCCAGAAACCACTATACCTTAACGATCTATTTGGAAATTACATAAAAAAGGAAGTTGAGTAGAAATGAATCTTGAATAAAAAAGGAAGTTTAATAGAAAAGAAAATTGAATAAAAATAGAAGTTGAATAAAAATAAAAATGAAAGTGGCATAAAATTAAAAATGAAAATTCAATCAAAAAACCACTATACCGTAACGATCTATTTGGAAATTAAATAAAAAAGGAAGTTGAGTAGAAAAGAAACTTGAAAAAAAAAGGAAGTTCAATAAAAATAAAAATGGAAGTTGCAGAAAATTAAAAATGGAAGTTCATTCTACAAACCACTATACCTTAACGATCGCTTTGGAAATTAAATAAAAAAAAAAGAAATAGAATAGAAAAGGAAATTGAATAAAAATGGAAGTTGAATAAAAATAAAAATGAAAGTTGCATAAAATCAAAAATGGAAGTTCAATCCCGAAACCACTATACCTTAACAATCTGTTTGGAAATTAAATAAAAAAGGAAGTTTAATAGAAAAGTAAATTGAATAAAAATGGAAGTTGAATAAAATTAAAAATGAAAGTTCCATCCAGAAACCACTATACCATAACGATCCATTTAGAAATTAAATAAAAAAGGAAGTTTAATAGAAAAGTAAATTGAATAAAAATGGAAGTTGAATAAAATTAAAAATGAAAGTTCCATCCAGAAACCACTATACCATAACGATCCATTTAGAAATTAAATAAAAAAGGAAGTTTAATAGAAAAGTAAATTGAATAAAAATGGAAGTTGAATAAAATTAAAAATGAAAGTTCCATCCAGAAA